GGTTGGTTGGATGGGTGGGTGGGTGGGTGGGTGGGTGGGTGGCGTTGTATGCATATGTATTTCGTCATATAGTACACCTGGAGGTCTACCTGGTGCAGGCCCAGATGCGGGACCAGAACAAGACCAGATTCAGGACCTGGACCATACTCAGAACCATAGTGGATCAGGAGGTGGCCAGCAGTCTATAGCAGGATGGGAAAATCTAACGAGCGAGTAGCTTGTAGTACTTTGTACCCATTAAATTCTCACTTGCAGCCATTAGGTAGTTCACCTGCCGAATGGGTTATGCAATATGTATTATGCAGTGCACTATGCACTACAAACATAGGTGGACGCCACTGACTCCATTATGCATCTTTACTATGTACAAAGTTCTACCTAATGGCTATGTACTATGTAGTATGCCCTATGTACTATTTACAACGTTCGACCAAATGGGTATGTAGCTTGGCCTATGTATATGTACTATGTACAGATTTCTACTGGGTATGTCGCTTGCTCTATGTACCATGTACTATGTACTATATGGTACCCGATGGATACTATGAACTGGGCAATGGGTATTATGTGCTGTGTGGTAGTATGTCTCCGTTTGACCCCCTGGCCACTAAGTATAACAGCATGTACTTCGTCCCCTCTAGTCAGTGCTGAGTACTGTTTACCGAGTACCACCGAATGCGTTCTGAGCACTATCTAATCTAACCACCTAATGCGTACTGAGTACTATCTAATCTAATCGGTGCTAAGTACTGTGTACTGTACTGTGTTACCTCTATTCATTGCTATGTACCGTACTGTTTACTGAGTACTGAGCACCACCTAATCCGTACTAAGTACTGTCTACTCTAAGTGGTACTTAACACCATCTACTGTGTACTAAGTACTGTCTACTCTAACTTGTGCTGAGCACCACCTAATGCGTACTAAGTACTGTCTACTCTAAGTGGTACACCATCTACTGTGTACCAAGTACCGTCTACTCTAAGTGGTGCTGAGCACCACCTAATGCGTAGTAAATACTGTCTACGCTAAGTGGTACTTAACACCATCTACTGTGTACCAAGTACTGTCTACTCTAAGTGGTGCTGTCTACTCTAAGTGGTACGTGGAAGCACCTCATGCATACTAAGTATGGTCTACTGGTACTGAGCACCACGTAATGTGTACTAAGTACTGTCTACTCTAAGTGGTGCTATGTGTACTAAGTACTGTCTACTCTAAGTGGTGCTGAGCACCACCTAACGCGTAGTACATACTGTATACTCTAAGTGGTACTGAGCACCATCTAGTGTGTACAAAGTACTGTCTATTTTCAGTGGTGCTGTCTATTCTAAGTGGTACCAAATGCGTACTAAGTTCTCTCTCTCTCTCTCTCTCTGCTATCAGTGGTGCTGTCTACTCTAAGTGGTGCTGAGTACTGTGGGTACCATCTAATGTGTATTAAGTACTATGTAC